TGAACCGCTTTGTCAGAGGGGGATGCAGAACACACCTTGACCAAGAGATCTCCATTTGCATCTCAGTGGAATTAATTAATATGTGCTAAGCTCTAGGCAACAGTAGCTGGACTGCTTCCAGTACAAGAGCCAGCTCCGGTATCCCTGGCTGCAGTCAGACATGTAGACATGCTTAAGCCATGCTTAAGACATCTGCTGTATAGGAATCCTAGTGACACCCCTCTAGATGCTGGAACTCCTCTCACTCGGCCATCTAAAAGGTAAGCAACTAGCCTAGGAGAGTAATCTCAGCTCCTTCTGTAGCATGGAGAAAGAACAGGCACTTCCAGAAGGCGTTTCATTGGACCTACCTTAGACACCTCCCTTTGGGCAGATGAATTGTCCAGCCTTTAGCTGGATAATATTTGGTGAGATGGAGCCTGAAGTCTCCAAAATGCATTAGATGATCCAAGCTGTCCAGTTGTGAAATAAATCATTGAAAAGTGAGAGGCTGATATTCTACCCCCCCAGGGTTTCATAGCCAGCTGTAGATAAAATAGTTGCTAGTCTTCTCTTAGATTTTCAACTCAGTTTAGTTCCAGACTCCTCCTGCTGAGCAACTCTTACTTACATTGCTGAGTATGTGGTAGTAAATGGTGTCCTGAAAAATGAAAGAAGGAAATAGTGCTCTCTTCTGCTACTGAAAATCAAAACTTGAAGATCTCCCTTTGGAAACACAAAATATCTCTCATCTATCTCATTCTTCACTGAGGATGGATCATATAATTGGGCATCTTGTACCACTCAGAAACACAATCCCAGACGCTCCCCAAGCTTAACACTTTATCTGTGGTCTGGGACTTGGTAGGTAAGCATATGGTCCTGGGCAAATACAAGAATATTTTTCCCTCCCTGCCCATTTTACAATGCTTCTGTAAATACCACCTGCCCCACCTTTTCCTTTCTACTTCCTCTGAAGAGCGTTCATAGTGCTCTGCCTAATAGAAAACTTGCATACATTCAGGGCCGTATTCCTATGCGCTAAGACTGCATGCCGTCACTTGCAGGGCATTGCTGCTCTGATTTGGCAGCAATTTATCCCCATTTTACATCTGGTGTAACAAAGGCACGGGATGCAAAGAAATGAGCGGGGCTCAAGACAAAATTAGGCTTAGAGGTTAAAGCAGAGGGAGTCAGATTCATCGTAACATAAATATTGAATTACATGTCTGGTGGCTTTGATATCAATTAGATAGGCTACTCATATGCTCTCTAGTATTTGTCTGGTTATACTGTATGATCCTAGCACTAAACTTCTGTTGCTTTCCCTAGAAAGGCTACGTGCAGCCTAAGGTTATGTACAGAGGTGGTGGGGTTAAATCATGGAGTGGGCACACTCACCTCTTTGCTGAGAAATGGGGACCCTCTGTAGCCCAAGGTGCCTCAGTTTACCTACATTGTCTCTCATCTACGCCGTTGATTGAATGGATCTGGATACCAGGCTCCTTGAAGCAGAAAAGCTGTGTTGTTGCTCATGGCTTATGCTGCACCAGAGGGGTTTCTCCCACGGCTCTACACGGCACTGATACAAACAGTTCATTACAAGAATTTCTTGGTTTCTAAGTGAGTGTCATTAAAACCAATGCAAGCCCCTTATCCAGATTAGAAAAGGTTTTAAAAGGTTTACAAACCAAACTAAGCTAAAATAAATATCAGCTGTTCTTAAGTGTCCACACCAAAGGGTTTTCCTTCCATGGTTTTCCATCAGTGAAACTAGCCATCAGGAAAGTTTGCCTCACAGTCCTTGCTTAACTGTCTACGAATCAACCCATGGGACTTTGCTGCTGCATTGGTCTTTACCTACTTCCAATACCTGCAAGTTGATGCTGATTCTTGTCTAACCCTGAAGTTCACTACCCATATTTGGAATTTCTGTCTGTTTCTGCCAAGCCAGGCTCCAAAAGGAGTTTGGGGCATTCTGCAAAATTCATCCCAAAGTTGTCAGTATTTATCGGAGCCATTGATTTTTTTCTCTCAGGTCCCCTTCTGCAAGTGACCTGACTCTCCCTGCCTAGTCTTATCTGCTTGTCCAGCCAGGAGAGTAACACAGTACTGCGTTAACACATATGGCCCCTTGCAATGTATGGGATGCGGATTTACAGAAAACCTTCAAGCCTTTCTGAAACCCAGGTATGAAGAAAGAAAT